GGCCTTGGATGACGGGAGGAGGGAAAAAAGTTAAACAAGAATTTGATTTAATCATAGATTTTAATCTGTTGTTGATCCAGTTACAAAACTTATGAAAGAGCAACATAAAGAAGAAACTTACATCCATTCGGAACTGGAGAAGGAAATTTTCTTCTAAAGCTAAGATCCTTACGGGAAAAACATGGAAAACACAGGGAAATAGTTTGTATCACCAGCTTTGAAATAATCTTATGAATAGTTTCATTCATTCTAACAGGATAACTAAATAAACAGACATTCTGTGTATCCGGTAAGAGACAGTGGAATTCATTCTGAGACATGTAGCATCTTGAGCTGTTATCACTGAGCAAGAATCTTTGAGCCATACCTCGCCAGATCGTTCAGATCCAAACGTCCGTCCTTGTTTTTGTCAAAGATTTTCATCTGCAAGATAACAGGATGTGTTAAGAAGCATGAAAAACATAAACCTCAGTGAACGTCTGTCTTATTTCTTTGTTTTTCTGCCTTTTTTCTTAAAACCACCTGCGACTCTAGAGCCACTTAATCTGTCTGACTCTGTGGGAGAATCAATCTCTTGTAAAATGAAAAGTATAAAGGAATAGGCTGTCTGACACTTGAAGCTGGTAGAAAAGTAACTCTGGAAGAAGAATTTGTATTTGATATTGCTCGATTTTGATCCTTTTGTCATTTGATAGCCGCAAAAGCAAAGAAAATACCAACAAAATGGCATCACAAGAATTGCAAAAATCTCTAATAAAAAATAAATAAAAACAAGTAATGTTTTGGGGACAACCAATACAAGTCAACATTACAGGAAACTCACAACTCTTTTACCAGCTTTACACAGCCACACAGAAATGCAACAGGCGATCCGGCTTCACACTGAATCAACAGCATAAACTGTCAGCAAGGACTAATCGCACTTAATTCAAGAGTTGGATTTACTACCATTGCATCAGTGTAGTCCTCCAGCTTGTCCGGTGTCACTTCCTTGTGGTGCAGCTGGAACAAGTCTTTCAGGAAAGCCTGTCGGTTTATCAAATAATCAAACAGCAAAACAGTCAGTTCTAGGAGTTCTAGTTTACAAATTCTGCAAAAAAACCCCACAAAACAAAAACAAAAACAGCACTTTATTTTTGCACGGTATGAAAAAAAGTAAAGACATTCACAGCATTGATATGCATTTAAAGCACCGTATATCTCTAAATCAAACACAGCCATTACTAGATCACACCAAAAAACAACAAATCTCTATTCTGAAGAAAAAGATTGCATCTTGGTAGGTGGAAGAAGAGGAAACAGTCATTTTATGCCAGTGAGGAAAAGACACATTAAATGCTTCTGCTTCACAAGGAGTTTATTTTTGTTACCTTCAGCTCCTGAGCCGATATGTAGCCACTGCAGTCAACATCATACTTCCTCCATATCTAAACAGGCAAATCAGCAAAGATTTACATGAGATGTCCCGTGGTTATTGAGACTGTCTGAATACTGTAAAATCACGGTAACTCATATCATTGTGTTTTTACAGGATATTAACTAAAGACAATTGCAGTTTGCTGGTGAAATTTCCTGGAAGTGCAGTGCAGATTTACTTTAGATAAATTATTATAGATTTATTGCCAACAGTACTCACTTGTCTGCCTTCACATGCAAACAAATTTGTGTGACATCTCATTCTTTATCCATAGGATTTAATATGATGTCA